ACTATAATTTTTTTGTGGCTTTTTGCAAAGGTTTTAGCAAATTTACTTAGCACAAACTTCCATCCAAATTACTGTATGTTTTACTTGTCTCATGAAATAAATTAACTGTTGTCATTTGAGAAGGGTTTTGCAAGCATCATGATATCCTTCATTATGATTGTCACCAAGCCAACGCATTTAGTCTTCCTGAAAAATCTGCTTTACCTTTAAATGCAACTAAGTCTTTGGAATAAGTATAGTGTTTAATGTAAAGATATTGTATTATTATTGTAAAAACCAAAGGAAAAAAAGTTACCGGTGCTCTCTCCTTAATCCCTATGTATATTTAGACAAATGGAGGCCATTTAGTTACCCCAATGACCATTGGAGGGAATGCCCGCCTGCCAACGTCAAGGCAGACCCCCCTAAGCGGGTCCTACACTGACCTTTCACCCCGCTTCCTTGAGCCTCTGGCAAAGATATCTCCAATGAGACAGAGAGGGGTATTTTTATATACACCCCTATATACTTATTAACCCTTAATAGGGAACACATGGGATGGGCGGCAGCATTGTAACAAAGCTGTGTGATACAAAAAGTGAATACAAATACAAAAAGATAAGTCCTGCGCTCAATCCCATCACTCCTGGGCAGCAGCAACGACCACAGTACACATCAGCCCTAATACATATAGTAAAAACCAAAGAAAAAAAAAGTTACCTGCGCTCTCTCCTTAATCCCTATGTATATTTAGACAAATGGAGGCCATTTAGTTGCTCCAATGGCCATTGCAGGGAATGCCCGCCTGCCAACGTCAAGGCAGACCCCCCTAAGCGGGTCCTACACTGACCCTTCATCTTGCCTCCTTGAGCTTCTGGCAAAGATATCTCTAATGAGACAGAGAGGGGTATTTTTTATATACACCCCTATATACTTATTAACCCTTAATAGGGAACACATGGGATGGGCGGCAGCATTGTAACAAGGCTGTGTGATACAAAGTAAATACAAATACAAAAAGATAATTCCTGCGCTTACTCCCATCACTCCTGGACGGCAGCAATGACCACAGTACACATCATTGTATTTTTCTGACATAATCATCTGATTGATAATCACTGATTAATTAGTGCTGTGCCTCTTCACAACCAAACACATTTTTTTGGCAAAAAAATATTAACAAAATATTTGTATTATGTATGTGTGTATTTATTTTTTATTATATCTATTTTTTAAAATCATATGTCTGACCATTTGCTTTCTTTTTTGATATGCTTTGTGATGTGCGTTAGTGTTTAAGTGTCATTATATATATCCCCTGTTACTCTGTATTGGGGATATTTAATCTCTGGCCAGCCAACAATTACCAATTGCAATATGTTACATTTTTGAAAGACTGAGTTTAATTCAATGCTCATAGGGAGGTGAAAAATAAAGATTCTGCATATAAGTAGAAAAGTTCAAGGTAACCAGGATCAAGGATGTCAAAAAAAGAAGAAATGGAATGCTTAGTCATGGAAGCCACAGAGCAAGATAAACTATACACTTCAAATAATTATTATAACAAACACATCAGAACATGTTAAAGGACCATGAAACTACAATAGGACACTGGCCTAATGCAGCACAGTGGCGCCTAGTGCAGGATAGTGGGGCCTAACGCAGGACAATGGGACCTAATGCAGGACAGTGGTGCCTATTGCAGGACAGTGGGTCCTAATGCAGGACAATGGGGCCTAATGCAGAACAGTGGGACCTAATTCAGGACAATGGGATCTAATTCAGGACAGTGGGGCCTAGTGCAGGATGGGGAGGTTTAAATAAACGCAACTTGTTGCCACATTAAGTCAGTTTAGCTGCACACGAAACTCATGGGTGTGCGTAATCTGTCCAAATTCACTATGTGACTATTGAAGATAAAACCTAAAGTTATTTGAAGTGGTCATGACGCTTGGAGTCTGTTTGTGCAGCGTTTTGCTATGAAACGCTACATGTACCCAGTTAAAGCACATTGCTGCCAGATGTGTAACTCAGCCTTCAGGCTGGACATTGTTAAATCTGTGCAGGTTTACCCCTCTGTGCCACCCAGGTCTTCCCCCCAGCTCTTCTTCAAGGATGTTCCCTCTAGTGATGAGGACCAGCCAGAACTGAAAGCATTTTTTAAATTTTTTTATTTGGTGGGCGTCCATGCTAGAAAAGAGTTACTCTAAACAAAAACAGTGTTTTATTAAAACTGCATTTTTGGTTGGAGTAACTTATTAAAGACAATATTAGAAAGATGACAAGAGTAAATATGAAAGTTTTGTAGAGAGGGCGTAATGACTTGTAGCTGTTTTTTGTTTTTGTTTATATCACATATGTGACGCACTGCCTGGCACCCCGACCGGATGCCTCTGCCAACCGAAGCTCCTAGTGCTTACTGAAGGCTCCAAGCACTCCACCAGACACCATCAGCACTGTAGTCCCAATGTCCAGCGTTACAGCTTGGCTGGGAACACGCCGTTCTCCACCCACCCTGGTCCTTGGACCCAAGACCAGGATCCAGCTTCCAGTGGGGGAACCTCTCCTACTCCAGAGAGCGTAGCAGGAACAGCTCCTATAAGAGCTAGTGATTATAATTCCTGGGGAGTATAGTGATATAGCAATCCCCAGGATAGATACAGCCGTTTCCCCCACACATGAGATGAGACTCTATGTTGAGGGTAAGCAGGAACAGAATTTTAATGGAGGCACACTGACCTTGTATGCAAGTTTCCCAACAAGGGTGACACCAAGGTGGACCTTGTTGGGCACAGGGACATAAAGTGAATAAACCAATAAAAACAGAGTCATACAGTGAGACACTCCCATACACAAACAATAGAATCCCTCCTCTGTGCTTGGGAGATAAATGAATCAGGAACTGTACTTACCTAACCCAATTATCACCAAGCACAGAAAAACATAACATTTTATGAAACCCCAAAAAGTACCTTAAAAACACATAAAACCCCATAAAGTTACATCCCCTGATAGCCCCGATCTGGATGAACAACATATCCAAAAATCACCCAGATCGGTTTAGGGGTTCCGAAATTTCCTGAAAGTCATAGTTTTTACCGACCGTGCACATGGTCCTATGCCCAAAACAGTTCCAGGGAAATCAGTGCTAACAGTCGGTGAAGTTCGGTAGTCTTTTACAGGTTTCCCTGCAGGGCCCATAGTCTGTGGGCAGGAGGCTGGCAAGCAGGCCCCTCCAAGTACAAGTGGCGAGGTTACTTTCGCCTCAACATCTAATAGTTCTATCGCTGGGTCTTCTTAAAATATATTAGTCCACAATGCCTACTGCTATTCTGTGTTTCTATGTTTCCAAGTTCGTGATAATTTTTTTTTGTTTCAGAAGGATAGTACTCCCACAACAAAATACAGAAGTTAGTCATTTTTTGCATGGAATACAGGACACTATAGAAATAATATGATGATATCATTGTTGAAAAATGGATTTGCCTGCTTAGAACTGCAACGTTGCCCATCATCATTAAACAACTCTTGGGAGAACTGGAATGTCAATTGTGAGTCAAGCAAATTTGACAAACATCATTGCTTGATCTCACTATAGCTCTTTTCCAAACAGAAAGTTTCTGACTTGTGATGCTAATCCTTCTGAGAAGAGTAGAGTTTATTATAAAAGGAAAAAGGGAACAATTCTTTATTAATGTCAAGAGACATGTGCATCAATGATTTTCTGCTGGTATGAATGAATCGATCCATCCAGGATTTACCTGTGGAGTCTTATTCAATAAATGTTAATCCCGAACGGATCAATTAGTTCGGGTGTATATTAAAAGGAATTTGATTTGTTTGTAACAACTGAAATGCATTAATGCACAAGTCTGATGCTTATGAATTTGTAATGAGCTACTCAGCGGGTGCATGCCAACATAGTTTGACCTCATTAAGCACTCCCTCTATGTCTAAGTGTGTGAATTCAGTGTATGTGGGTGTGTTAATAATGGTGTTCTATTTTCAATGTTACAGAACAGGGTTCTCCAGACTGGCAAACCAAATGTTGTTGAACTAGATCCATGATTGTTTGAATTAAATAGATAGCAAGAGAATCATGGATGTTATAGTTTAGCAACATCAGGAGGGCCAGAGTTTGGAGAACATTTTTTGGAATGAATATATAGGATAAAGATGGAAGCCCATGCAATCCTTTTTTCCCCTCCATTGGTCACTTCTCGCTTGATTTTTTAATTAAAAATAATATTTAGTGTCTGTCTCCTATCTATCAATATCTCTTTGCCTTCGTGCTGTTCTGGTTGTTCGTGATGCATCCATACGTCACTTTAGAGATACGGAATTCAGACAACCCTATCGTTCTCCCAAAATTTGGACAAATTTTAATTCTTTTGAAACTGAATGGACAGGTCTAATTTATACATTAAAACAATGAAATACATTTGCCTAAATGTTAAGATGAATAAATGACCAATACCCAGAGTTTTATTACAACTTTGCTTTCATTCCCTTACATTCCTTCGTGTATTTGCCCTCATTCCTTCAGAGTGTGAGCTCATTTGGGCAGTGCCCTCTTTCCCTACTGTTCTACTATGTCAATCATGTTTTGTTAGAATTACATGTTGGTCTTGTTTTCTTACTGTTCTGCGCTGCGGAATATGTTCTCACTACATGAATAATTGTTATTGTAATTACAGTGAATGAACAGAAAGAGAGTGCATTTATTACATAGTTACATAGCTGAAAAGAGACTTGCGTCCATCAAGTACAGATTGTTTTGTTTTTTTAGATACAAATAACTTTACGTTACAAACTTTGGGAAGAAATATAATTATTTATGATTAAATATATTTTTTACTTTATTATTGTATTTTGTTTTGTGTTTCTGAGAAAACAGATGGTGTCACTGTTTTTGTGTTGATTTCTCGCTAATTCTTAATTTTTTGTATTTGTGTGATACCAAAATTGGTTCAGTGTGAACTCTTTTAGCAGTACAGAGGGAACATGGATGTTCGTCTTAGGTAGAATCCCCAGGATACACTTGAAAACCAGAGTAATCTTCATGTGCCTTTCCTGGTTAAATACTTTGTTATTATTATTATAATATCCAGTGAAGTTTGAAGGAATTTGGGTAAAACCTCCATAAATTGTGCTAAAACATAGAAAAGGATCAAGGGAAATATACAGAAATCCTTGCCTGTTCAATATCACTTAATCAGTGGTACGGTCTTTGGAATTTTAACCCACGGACGTGCCTCACAGTAATGTGTTTCAATCCCAAAGCAGCATGCTGTAACTGGAAAAACAGATAGTATGACTGACTTATCTAACCACATAGCACAGACATCATAAACTGAATGACGTCAAATGTAGAGTAAGTGTCTAAAACCTTCTAATCAGTAAAATTTTATGGTGATACATAAGTGCTATTTAAATTTGAAATATAGTAGTTATCCTGCAGACATTATTAGAGTATGTCACTAAGTATACACATTTGTTTGTAACTGTAGCAACATGTCATATATGGTTCTCTCTTTGGACATATTTGAGCAGTTACCTATTCTTGCAGTTGTGGTAGTTCTTGTTTAGCAGTCCCTACCAGTGCCATTCTTTGTTAATGCCTCATTTAGGTTAGATATTCTAGGTAAAAATATACAAATCAGTGTAACCTTTATATGTGTCAAGAAAGAGTCACTATGCAAGTCAAGATGGTCCAGAAATTGAAACTTTAGGTATAATTTATCAAGACAAAGCATGTCACTGCAGTATGTGGAGCTTTGCAACTACTTATGGTCTGAAACCATCACCCAAAATAATTCCTAGAATATTCTGGAGCAGGAAGTGTACAGAGCAGTAATGGGTGTGCTAGTGTTGCAATATGGGGCACAAGTGATGGCGTGGGAACATGCCAGCTTGCCAATTATGTACCAGGTTTACTGGCAGCCATGCTGTCTAGCTCCCTCAGGATGCCCCATGCTCAGAATACTGTTGAAGTTGTCTTGTATGAGTAGAAAAGTCCTAAAGTCATGTCTTACAGCAGATGTAAATATAATAGTGTGTTTGCAGTGTGTTTATTGTGGATCTTTCTCTAATGTCCCCAGAACTGGGACTTCAGAGAAAAAAAATAGAGATGGTGGTCCTAGGGTCTGTGATCAGGACTGTCCCATTGAATCCTGGACAGTGAGAGGTTATAAGAATAGTGGGGGGGCGGGGGGGGAGAGAGTCAGCCCTAAATAACAAGATGGAAGGCAGCAACCCAAAAAAGGGAATCCCTCTAGACCAGGGATAGGCAACCTTCGGCACTCCAGATGTTTTGGACTACATCTCTTACACCCGTAATGCTGGCAAAGCATCATGGGAAGAGTAGTCCAAAACATCTGGAGTGACGAAGGTTGCCTATGCCTGCTCTAGACCCTAAATAAAACAAGATAAAAGAGGTGAAGGGGGTAAAGGCAGCGCTCAGGGCTAATAGCAGTAGTCTATAATAATGGAAACCAGACCAAATGGTCTAAATTGATAAACAACAACAAGTAGGCCTATGTAGATAATAAAAAAAACTGTCTCACTTAAGACAACATAATAAAATAAGGGTGAAATCCTCAGGAGTTGATCAGTCCGGATAATAAAATATAAAATATAAAAGTCAATAAAAAGTCATATAAAAGTCTCACTGATATATCTGGATTGGGTAGGGGTACAATCCTCAGGATTTGGTCCATCCGGATGGTTAAAATATCTGTATATGTGGAGAGACAAGGGGAAAACACGACAAATAGCCGATAAAGTCTAGATCCAATGGTAAAATAGAAAGAAAGAAGGTAATACACTCGCATTTGTGAGAGCTCTAACCAGCTCTTGGGTGAAGGGCGTGTAGCTGTATAATCCCCACTAGAGGATATAGTGGAGAGGTGCATCCGTCAATCTGGTCTGGTTATTCAATGATCTAGGATATATAAAAAACAGCAATAGTGCTCTCAATGTTTAAAAAATGAGTAATAAAATATAAATAAAATATACTCACAAGTATAGAGCAGAAGGTACTGCTCTATTGACACAGCATTGGTGGAATGATCCCCACCTAGGATTACTTGTGTACAGGATACAATAAAAATGCCAGGGAAAGTAATAATAAAAAGTGCATATAAAATCCAATAAAAGGAGAATCGGTACAAAAAAAAGTAACCAAAAAACTTTTATTGTTAAAACACACAATTTAAAACCATTAACGAGTTTCACCTATTCAGGCTTTTTCGAAATGATATAAGGCATCATACCTGGCATAGAGAGTTTATATAAGAATGTGTAAATCTTGTTAGAGGTTATAATACAATATAAATAGTAAAGAGCTGGTAGGGGTGCCTCATCCAAAGTACTGATTTTTTTTTTTTGCGCTCATTACCTAGATTAGTGGTTCCTAACCCAGTCCATCATCAGTCCAGGTTTTGTCAGTATCCATTTCAATAAAAAGGGAAATACATAAATCCTAGACTGTTGGTGGTCCCTGAGGACTGAGTTGGGAACCACTGGCCTAGATTAACCCAATATTACAAAGGATTGTGGGACTTATGCTCTTAGCCAACTAGGGTATTGAAAACACATTTCCTATTTATCTGAGCATTTATTAAAGGAACTCTATAGTGTCAGGAATGCAAACATGTATTTCTGACATTATAGTGCCTGTGTGGCTGTTTAGATTGCCAGTCCCCTTAGATTACTCTGAAAAGGGGATATTACTCACCTTTTCTACCACGCTGCACTGTTCTGTCTGCGGCTGGCCCCACCTGACCATGCCTCCATGGCTAAGATCATCGATCTTGATGATCTCAGCCAATCCAATGCTATTCTCTGAAAAGGCAGCATTTACATTAAAAAGCCAAAAGACAAGACTATAGACAACAGAACCACTACATTCAGCTGTAGTTGTTCTGGTGACTATAGCATCAATTTAAGTGATTCTGCACCAACATTTTCATCTAAGAATGAGGGTCAATTAACAAATACACTTCCTCTGGATCAAATACCCGTTTTAGAAAAACATGTATGACTTGGATCTATGGCAGCAAAAAGATGCACAGAAGTAAAAAACACATTTTATAGTTATGTGTATGTAAATATGTGTGTATGTGTGTGTCCGCATACTTTATGGCATAATCTGACTATTATATTATGTGCAACTCTTGCTTCCAATTTTCTGTGAAAAGTTATGCCCAAAAAGACTTGCCAGTAAATAAGTTATGTTGAAAAATAACATATAATAAATATAAGCGACTGACAAAAAGATCACTGAAATATATGTTTAACTAGAGTGAGTAAATACTGGAAAACAAAGTCTTTTATTGGAGGTAGTTAATAATTATTTACTAAACACTCACATATGATTTAGGGAACTTTTAACACCAACTCTTATTTTCTTCTCTGTTTAGAAAGATTTATAAAGGATTGGGGAATTTACTTGATTTACGACTCCTTTCTGCTATCTAAGCCTACCTTTCTTCCTCTGTTTCCCTGAGAAACTTGAATAACACAATTCATTAAAAAAAAACATAGTTAACCCCTCGCAAAGTGCAAGAAGCCCTTTATTACTTGTTTCAATAAGTATTTGTTTAGCAACAATACAATACTTGAAATATACTAAACAGCCTATCTGTGACAATTATCTATCTTCTTTAATATTTGAATCAGAAACCTACTTTGACATTTACCCCGTTTACATCCTTCTCCCCCAGTAACCTTATCATGCCAGAGTTTGGTGGGGGTGAGTTTGTTACCCAATGTTTTGTGAATTATTTTGGGGTGGGGTGGGGTGAGTTTATTACGGGGTGTGGTGTGAGTTTATTACACAATGTTTTGTGAATTATTTTAGGGTGGGGTGTGAGTTTATTACACAATGTTATGTGAATTATTTTGGGGTGGGGGGTGAGTTTGTTACCCAATGTTTTGTGAATTATTTTGGTAGAGATTTGAACATGAAATTGCATAGCACCCTCTTCCCTGCTCCCCCGCATGCACTGATGCCAAGAGTATTAAAATATGACATCATTCCATAACACCCAAAAAATGTTACCTTTACACTTTCCTAAAGCCCTGTGTACATTTAAATGACAATGGGTTTTAAATTTTACTACAAAAGCCATTAAAGTGCAAGCTTACCAGCCCTGTCAAGGCTATCCTCACAGACAAACCCTACACTAGCAATTCACCTTGCTGCTTTCAGCTATAAGGCAAAATCTCTGATGAAACAGAGAGGGGTATTTTTCTAAACCCCTACATACTTATTAACCCTTATTAGGGCAAATGGGGTGGGCAGCAGCACTGTACCATGGCTGTGTAATACATAAGCAAATACAGACACACATAAGTTAAGTCCTGCACTCAGTCTCCCACTACTTCTGGTTGGCAGCAATGCCTACAGTATTTATCAGCTAAAATGCATAGTACAAAAGCAAAATGAGTTACCTGTGCACTATCCCAGATCCCTATGAATTTCATGGCTCACCTAGTGACTGATAATGAGTCCAGGGAGAGATTATGGCAGCACATCTACCCCATACCTTAATGCATTTTGTGTTTCAAATTGCAGTCGTAACGCACAGTTATTCTTACATGAACTGTTGATACGTGCAATCATACTGGGCTGGTTTAAAAGTTAAATGACCTCAAATACATGACCCCTCAGACGTATAATGTTTAAAATGTGATATATTTGGAATGTTAGTAAGTTGAACCATGTGCAGTTAACTCTTACTGCCTTTTAGTTGAGATGCCAATTCCTCAAGTTTCATAGATAGAATTATATAAAATGTCTTCCCGTTTCCAATCAGAGCTGACGATTCACTGCAACTCAGCATTCGATGAGAGTTTCAATTAAACGGACACTTACAAATGCGTGGTGCCCATTGTACCTCATCACTAGTAAATGGGCACCAATGGGTTTCATGATATGCCTTAAATTTATTAAGAAGAATCATCAGGAATCCATAATAGGAAACATATTAGTAGCTGAGCAAACTTGCACTCTGCTTTGTTCCTTTTAATCATACAGTAAATCATTTGAAAAATATTCCACTTTGACTTGCCGATACTTAAATGGTACTATTTGCAAGAGTAGTTAAGATTAACTGGACTTCACTGGTGATTAAACATGTGGCTGTTATCAAGATTTATTAAAATGACAGATGAAAATGCCTAACTGTTTTGTCTTAACCTTCGGCTCAGAAATTGTAACCAAATCATAACTTTTCAGCTGTTAGGAAAGGAGGTTGAGTGCCATTGTGGAGCCGAGTAGAATTTACACACAGTTGATCATTGCTAAGTCAGAGCTTGGAACATCTGTTTTTAATCAAGACTATATCAGTCTCACATTGTTCTCATAAAAAAATATATAGTTTGCTTAAAGTGACACTGTAGGAACTCAGACCACCTTATCCCCATTGCACAGTGCTGTGGAATTTGATGGCACTTTAGAAATAATATAATTAATAATAGTGATAATCTAATTGAAGTGGTCTGGGATCAGTGTCCCTGTCCCCTTAGCCCTGCAGTGTAAAGCATTGCAGTTTTAGAGAAACAGTTTATGTCTAAGTTTAAAACAAGACAAGACAAGGAAAAGTTGCGCCAAAGATAATAAATATATATACAGATAATATCAATAGTAGAGATAGTCCTAGTAAGAGATCCTCTTGTATAGGTCACTATAAGTCATAGATGAGAGTTAATAAATGGTACTTGATATAAAAATAAAAAATCCTCAGTTGAAACGATGAGTCAGTTAGTATGTGCGCTCCGTATGCATTTATAAAAGACAAAAAATGGAGGACTGCGGATAGTGTAATAAATATGATTAGAGATATGTTATAAGTAGAAATAATGGTAATACACTCACATTTATGCGCGCTATAGCCATCTCTAGCGTAATAGGCGTACTGCAGTATAATCTCCACTTATAGAATATGCAGCAACTGTACACGTCAGGAGTGTAAACTCAGGAAAGGGATAGAAAGACAACTAATAGTGCTCTCAATATAAAAATATCAATAGATAAAATGAATAAAAATTTACTTATAAGCATGTGTTATCAGCATTAGTGGTATGATCCCCA